TTTTTTTTTCTTTTTTAGTTCTGGCATTAATCTTTAAATTAGTTTGGCAAAGAACGAAGAAAAGAATAAAGAAACAACTACTGGAAACAGTCTTGACATTTGGTTTTGTAACAAACCATACAGTAGTTAGACTTTAAAGAAATCTTTACTTTTTATTTTATTCTTCAGTTTTATATTCATAATGCAAGCGCCATGGACAAGACAAAGCGATAAAAGAAATGAGGTTAATTGCACCAATATTATTTGGAAGTGCAGTTCATCATTTGACAAAGCAAAACTAGAATGTACTATGCTTAAAAAGAGTCGAACCGATGAGATTTAGATAGGCTTCATAAGGAAGGATTTTAGACTTCTATTCAAGGAAGCTCCATGTATAAAAGATAGGGTATTTTAAGACAAAAGAGAAGTTATGTAACTAACTGTAGGTCTGGTCCTGCAGCCCCAGTGCAGGCTAAACTTCCCTTGAAGACATTGAGCGTACATGTTTTGGATTTACTCTTCCAGCATAGCCTCCAGGAAATGCCATTCAGCAGTACAAAGTCTGCAAGGGCAACTGGCTCCCTTCTCCTGCAGAGGACAGAGGGCTACAGAGAAAAACCTGACTAAGAAGGGGATGTGCTAAAACAAAGGGAAAAAGGGACTCCCCTCAGCAAGAATGGTGGCTGCATATCAGGCAGGGCAGTTGACTCATTGTAGCTCTACATGTGCTCATTAATTCAGGGCATTTACCAAAATGCTCCATAGTAATCGACCTGCTGGGAAGATCTCCAAAATTGTGCTGCTGCTGCTGCCTTGCTATGGGTGAGGAGCCTCTGGGGACCACTCCAACACAGGTGATGCAGCCTGGGGCACCGAGGTAGCTTCCACCACATCAGATATGCACTGGTAAGGAGGTCTTTTTCAGATCCATTTTCCTGATGCTTGTGAACAGAGCAATGCCCAGTGGAAGTCTCAGGCATGCAGCAGACAACCACATGTGCCCTAAGCATGTATTTGACCCTAAAACTCAATGGGAGCTTTGTTTCAGACCTGCAGGTTCAAACACAGATGTCTGCCAGCAGAGCTAAACCGTAATTTTGACAGCAAGTAAATCTGGTAAACTTTACATGGTTCCTCTCCTGCTAAAAGGAGGCACACTCTAATGCTGATTTTGCATATGCTTTTTAAAGTTTCCTGATAGAGCTACAAGCCTGGGGCTCCAAAAGTATTTTAAATTAGTAGTATTATCATTATTTAAAATTTAGCTTCAATGATTTAGTTATTAGCCTAAGGTCAAATTCTCAGAGAATATCAAGACATACTAAGTACATCTTTATTAATGCACACCAATGTAAATAGTGTTATCTAATGATGAAATATAAAAATTCCCTGCATTACTGCTTGTGCAAAAGAAAAAAACAAAACACATTATCAGAAATAGAATATGGTCCTCCATATTTGCAAGAAGAGCATTTCTCACAAAGATGGGAGCGAAATGGCAGCACATCCTTCAACATGCAGCAGGTTGTCCATTATTCAAGTCCTGCCCTTTATGTGATGGCTTATGTACCAGTGGAATGCCCCGACACAATCAACTCCATCCTCTTCTATACGTCAACAGGATACGAGTGACAGGAGGACAAGCTCCCACTGTGGCTCAGGGAGAGTCTGGGGCTGTGATTGTTACAGTTTTCACCTTTTTTCTTGTCCTTGTCTTTCCAGGTTTCCATTTGCAGCTTCCCTTGCTCTTCTCTCATAAAGACCTCCACCATGAGAACCTTCTCTTTATGAATCTGCTGACTAATGTCCTTGGGAATGTCTGGGATAATCCAGTCAACAAAGTCACTCATAAACATGACCAAATTCTGAAAATGAAATTGTGAGAAAATGTCAGCCTGGGCAAATGAAAGGATGACTGTAGGGGAAGGGGTCATTTCACTGTAGCTGAGAAGGAAGAACAAAGAAAAGACAATATTTGAATTGGGCTCAACTGCATGCTATAAATGTGATGCCGAGCCAAATTTACCTCAATTTCCTGTTCATATTAGAAATAGTGAAAAATACCAGGTGCAGATCTTTATGATTTATCTACAAATATTGTTAGAGCCATTTGGAAATGAAAAGGAAATACTGGACCTGATGGAATTTTACATCAGCAAGGCAGAAGTAAATAAGGAGAAAGTAAAAACGATGAGAGTTGGCAAAAAAAAAAAAAAAAAAAAAAAAAAAAATCATGAAACATTTCTGATTTAAAATCTTGATTCCATGAAAGGGAAACCCTTCTCAAATGTTTCCCCCCCAAAAATAATAATTGAAACAAGATTAGGTAAGGTAGGATTAAAACACTTGTATCACAATAACCAGCTTGATTGTTGTGACTGAACGAGTTACTTCAATGAAAAATTACCAGATTTTGCCATGCTGTTGAGACATGAAATAAAATACAACTGGGAAATCTTGGAAATTTCATTTCTTGGCTTGGTCTAGAAATTATTTTGGAGGAAATTTATGTTTCTTCACTGTAAACGTCCTACTGGAAGGATGTAATTGGCAGCAGTCTTGTGCTCTCCCGTTCACTAAGGTCATTAAGTTGTTTCTGCATCAAACCAATTAAGAGAATCACTGAGAATGAAGTAACCCTCTGCTGGGGGACATCTGGGACTGTATGGGAGGCAGATAGGTGAACAAGAATGGGCAAATTCCTTTGATTTTGCAAGAAACAGCTGTGAAGGAAGATACTTTCTTTGGCCTAATAACTATTTCTGAAGGTGGCTTGCTGTATTTAGCTAAAGAAATATGACAACTCTTTTTCCTTCTCATAGTAGAAGTGCCTGCAGTCATAACATACCTGGAAAACTATCACAAATGCTAGTCTTGCTGCTAGGACAGCCCAGAAATCCTTTGAAATGTCATACTTATTCTCAGACCAGGGGGGCTCTCGATAATCTTTGTACCTGCAAAAAACCAAGACTCAGTAAATCAGTGATGTCATTCAGACGTTTTAGCACAACAAGGAGTTAACACTGAATGGCTGAACAGTAGGTCAAATAGTCTAAAAGAATGTTCACTTTTACAACATGGCTTTGTATTAACCTCTCACAAACAAGACACAGCTGAACCTCCCACAGCCTTTAAGTTTTATTCAAGATTAAAAGCCTTCAATCTTAATACCCCCAGATTATAAATAATATAAACTCTAATTACAGATAAAATAAACTCTGCATAAAGACAGCAAACAACACAGCTCAGTCTGGTTTCTTTGTTGTTGCTGTTGTTTGAAATAAGCTTGAAATTAAACTACATTTGCAAACTTATTTTTCAGCCAATACTGATCTCAAGTCCATAATGTGTGCTGTGCTACGTGGCATTCTACTGGTTCATGATTGACAAAAGATCACTGCCAAAATATAGAGAGAACATGAAAATTTTCCCTTAGCTATAGCTTCAAAAAGAAATCTGTGAGCTAATCAATAATAACCTCTTAGGAACTGGACCAAGAAAAATACATTTAATTTAAAATATGGCATCCTGTTAATATTTAGGAAGAATTAGGAACTCCTGTTTTCAAGTGATTTAAAAATCCCTGGAATGTAGGAGAAATGGAAGAAAGAGGGTGGGATTAGAAAGTAGAAAACTGCCATTTTTACATTGGACTGTGACACTAATACACCCTAACACTTCTCTTCTGTAAGTTCTGTACTAAAAACGTGTTTGCCTGCCTAATTTATCCTCTACACAAAGATCACCAGGAGGAAATTGTGAGAAATCAAAAATAAGCTAAGCTGATATATATGTAATTTTGGTTGGTTCTCTCTTTCATCTCAGGGTGAGTTTTCTGTTTAGCATTCATTCAGCATTCGATTTAGCATTCAGTGCAAGTTAATCTGCTATGTCAATATATAAAGAATAAATTGAAGATTAAAAAAAATAAAACTATAAATAATTTGTTTTTTTTTCCTGGTCAGTTTGTGTAATTTTTCAGTGTATCTACACTAGAATCATTTTTCTTTCTTTTTTCTTCCCTCCCATAGTTTGTCTTCCTCCTTGCCACCATTTATCCCTACTATTTAGTCTTTCAGTTTTGCTGTTCCAAGTGCTTCCATTTGGCTTTCATCCCTGGTTTATAAGGTTGAAAACATTTGTTTTGAAGACGATGCATATCTAAGGAAGCGTAGGCAAAGTATGCATTTCAGCATTTCAGAGCCAAACTGCTTGATAAGCTGAAATATGCAAACAATAATTTGCCTTTAGCAATGAAAATAATATGTAGAAATTGTTACAGGCATGGATATTTCCTGCATAATCACAATTTGAGTGGGTCTTAAATTCGAGTGTAGATCAGGCTGCTATTACTGTCATCAGCAATTGCTACAGAAATTGGAGAAGTATACTGTGAAGTCACAGTCATCCAATTAGAAGGCTGTGATATAATACCATGATTGACATCATTTTATTCCCTTAAAGTATCATTATGCTGTTTATCACTATTTATCTCCTTTCCTGAAAATACATTGTAATAAAAATCTTTGTAGAGACAAATTTGCTAATGCTACTCTCTGTTTCCCAAAATACACAGTACTTCTTATTCAGGTCTTATGATTAATCTGTAAGGCAAGACTTTCAAGGTAATGGCTTGATTCAATATAAAAGACTACCAAGGTCCTCAAAAGGTGTTGACAATACAAGGGACCAAAGTCAACCCCAGGAATATTAGTTTGTCACGTTCTTAGCTGGTAAAGCACTTAAAATTAGTTGTTACTCAAGAGAATACCTGCATATCTGAACCTCGTAGCCAAGTTCCATGGGGTCGTTTGGAGCTGTTCCTGCTTGAAAATCGCTGACATTAAAAGAGGATAGTGTATGGTTCACGAAGCCATGCATGGTGCCATTCTCACTGTACATATACAGGTACACGAGGCGTGGAATGAAGTCGGATGTGAATGAGATCACAAATGCCTAAGCCATAAGAGTAAAGAATGAGCGCAATATTCAGGCACTGTTTCAAGTTAACAACACACTCAACTATGTCTTGCTCACACAGCTTATACAAATAAGGGGCTGTCATATAGGGGTTGTTGCAGAAACAAGGTGGAGACTGCAGCGTACAGGCCCCTAAATAGAATATTAACTGCTGTAACAAGGTAGTATTTATTGCTGACACCTTCGAGTTGCAGGGCATAATATAGAGCAGTTCCACGTTGACTAAGATTTCTATGCGGTAACAATCTGAATTCCCCAGATCATGGAGCTGCTGCATCCCAGTGTCAGGGCAAAGCAAAACACACTGCTGTTTCCTTGTGCCCCCCTATGACAACTTGACCCCTATGCATTTCATGAGGTCCAACTGATTTATTTACACGATTTCCTTTTCTGTTCTGCAAACAACTTACAGTGAGTTGACTCTAAACTGCACTGTGAAAGCCCATTAATTTTACATATTCTTTAGCTCCACTGGGGTAAAAGGATAAGCAGACTAAGCCAGTTTTATTTTTATGGTCACAAAAGTTCCACATTGTTTGGTTATTTTAAAAGGTTTTGTAAAAACGTCATACACAAAGTGCAGGACAGCCAAGTGAACGGACATCTTCATAACTCTCGCTGTTCTTATTTATCATTGTTGCAAAACTTTTTCACTGGCACAAGTCACGTGGAACAAACACAGTACAAAATGTTTTACTTGTTCTGTGATAAAAAGGGACAGTGCATAGGTCAAAGAAGGAAAATAACACTGGATAATGACGAAGAGAGACTACAGGGGAGAAAAGAGAAAAATAGAGAAATTATTTCCAAAGGAAAAGGTGAGAAATGGTAAAGACAAACTAAGGCAGCGTCCCAGATACCTACCAGAATGGTTTGGCCTTAAAAGAACAAACACCTGTTGGCAAAGCTAAGGGATTTCCACTCTGAATAATGGGGAGAAAAGAGGAGAGCCCATGGATGTGTGGCTGTAAGCCCTGCACAGCTGCTATTGTGCTACATTAGAAACATGTTTTCAGCTTGTCATTCAACTGTTCTTTTCATCTGTTGCCAGATGAAGGTGACAAAAATGGACTTATATTTATTTAGGATATTAGAGATTAACATAATGGAAAGAAGGTGAGAGGGAACACAACTTTTCTGAAGAATCAAGATGATGTAAACTATGCCAACAAAAAGGTAGGCTGAAATTTTTCCAGTGGATAGGATATTCAGTGCTGAAGTAACTAAAAATATCTTCATCGATTATCAGTGCTATATCTGAGTGAGAGCATTGCATTTTGAGGCCAGGTTGTACTCAGATTTTCAGTTCTCCCTATTGTTCTGAATACTGAATTTTAGCCATTTTCTGTCCCCAGTACACCACTGTGCAGAACTGTCTCAAATTTAAAGTAACCACTGGATCCGACTCTGTAATATTTTAGCAAAATTCTGAATCATTTATTTTCACTGAATTTGAGAGATTTAAGCTAAGATAAAACTAATGGAGCAGAATGGAGAAGCCAGCCTATTGAAGTAAGATTTTATTCATGCAGAATTACTTACATTTATTATGACAGCAAGTTTTCCTATCCCCCGGAGGATATTGTACCAGATTCCTAAGGAAAGAGACAAACATGTGAATGCTGTGCTGGTCATTAAAATTAGCTAAATTACATTTTTCAGATAACAGAGTTAGGATTGTACCAAACTAGAGTAATATTGAAATTAAAAAGAATATTTTGTAAAAGACTAATTTAAGGACCCATCAAGCAAAGTGATTCCAACTCTATCTTCCAAAATTATGCTTAGGTACCTATTTCTTTAGAGGTTTTGAGGGAAGGGGAGGATTGGTCTGCTGCTGCTGTACGACTACAGAACTAGGTTCCAGCCAGGTTCACCTGCTACACAACTAGGTTCCAGCACCTTTCCAGCTTCAGGAATGAGTTTTGGGATAAAAGCAGGGATGAAGGGACATCCTTTACCCACAGGCATTCAAGTCTTTTCTCATTCCCAAGTCTATTTCTCCAGTCCAGTCCAGAGTTACTAAACACAGAAATTTTTGCTTCTGCAAGAAAACTGCACTGCCAGGAAAAGCTGCTGGTATGCAGAGCCACGTGAGATATTTTGCTACTGTATTGATCACTTTGCTTTGAAAAATGACACTGTTTACCTAATAAAATATTCATCTGGATTTAAAGCATTGGTCTTTCTATTTTGAAAGCAAAGCCTTGGTAAGTTATGACAGTTCACAGTTAAGCCACAGTATAATGCTTTGAATTGTCCTATAAATGTCTTCCTGTTAATGAGACCAACTCAGCACAATAGCATCCTGCCATCAGTCCAGGAATAAACAAGCAGAGAGTGACAGCAGCAATGAGCACTTACCTATGTCCTTTGCTCTGACTGCTACTGGTCTCCTCAGCTCTGTAACAAATTTTTTTGCATCTAAACGGATTTCAATGATGTTGTTCAGCAAAGCAAACAGAGGCGCCAATGGGAAGGATGCGACAAACAAAGTTACAAATCCAAACTGAATAACTGAGAAGAAAAAAAGAATGTCAGTGGACTGATTTGTATTTATCAAATGCATACACAGAGTCAGAGAATATCCCAAGTTGGAAGGGACCTATAAGGATCATCGAGTCCAACTCCTGACTCTACACAGGACCACACAAAAATCTGATCATATTTTTAGACAGTTGTCCAGATGCTCCAACATCATCATGTCAGTGCTATTCCCCCAGATTCTAATAAGACAACACCTGCTGGGAGAATAAAGTGCATTTTCTTCACCATGTCCAGCAAGGCCAAATGACCACGGAAACAGGGGAGTTCCTAGCTTCATCACAGCCATGCCGACCCTGCTGCTCGCTGCCTCTGTGTCCCTCCAGCAAGGCAGAGGCAAGGGGATGCTGTGCTGCAGCAGGATGGAGTCCTGCTCCATGCAGGCCTCAACCGTGGGAGCTATCTGGAATGAGGAATGTGGGATGACAGCAGCTCTTCTGCCACCTGCTGCCTCCTGCGGCAGCATGAGCTCCCACATAGGATTGTCATGCTCCAATGGCAAGGCTTCAGCTCTTGCTAAGCCCATTGGAAACTCTTCTGAAGTTTACAAACCTTCTGCATTGCCAGCCCACTCTCTCCGTGATTGTATGTGCCAGTTCTTTTGCTAGCTTTTGTGCTAGCTTTGTTCTTCAAATGGCATTCATCACCCATACTAATGCTTGCCCTCTCTGTGTACTTATGGAGAGAGATTTAAATCTCCCTTGAACTGTTGTTCCCCACCTCAAAGAAGCCAAGATCTTTTCCATGCTCTCCTAACCAACTCCCCCTTCCTCCAGCCACCCCCACAGCCTATCTGCCCCAGGAGAGGTTCTCCCTACAGAGCGGGCGACAAGAGCCCATATGGTGGCCTGGTGCTGTGCCCCTTATGGACTTCAGGAGGGACATGACCAATTCCTGTTTGTCCTGGACACAACTACTCTAAGTTATTCTAATTCACACTGTATTAGCTAGGGAGGCCAATTTTTGGCATAGGCATATTTCATAATTTTTTTCCATTATTTTTGTCTAGTCGTTCCTGAAAACACTACATAAAGTTGCTTGTCTAAGTCTGACACTTCAGACTCTCTGAATCTCTGACACTGTCAATAACAGCATTAAGAGGAATAGATTTCTCAGCTTCCCCAGGATTTTAAAGTGGAAAGAAAATGCAGCTTCTGGGCCTCAGTAATGCAGAGTGTGATGTCCAGTGCTTAGATTCCATATCAATCACTCAAGATAATGCATTACTTGCAAAAAACAGTATACGTGATCTGTCAAGTTCAACCTGGCCTATGGTCAGATTTAAAAAAAAATGGAACAAAGCTGGTGTGAGAATAGACAGTGGAAACTCAAATCTGAATTAAACTGATATTTTTTTTTCCATGTAAGGTGCAACAAATGACACATCTGTCACCCAATCTCAGGTTTAATTATTTAACAGTAACATGTCGCATAGCTTAAAAGAAAATATCTAAAATATAGTGCTAAAGAAGGGATCATGATCACCAGATAGCATAATTCACCCCTGAAGCAGCCCATGACTGGCCAAAATATGTTACTGTCCTAAATCATACAGATCATACATTTAAGTTCTGCACCATATCCACTGTCCTCCAAACCTACAGTTCAAAAACCTCAGCTCCCATTCCATTCAGTTAGCATAGTTCGCTTAAGACGCCTTCTTTCCACATCACTCACTCATTTCCATATATTCAGGAGTAAGTCCAGAAAAAGGCTCCAGGTTATAGTCTACTTCATAACGCTGCTTTTTTTTAATGTGCTCTTCATGGTCCAAGGAGCGCCGACGCTTTAATTTCATGTATCTTATGAATTTCTTCATTTTGCTGGGGAAAATAGAAGCGATCCAGTTAGCATGCCACTCTGTGCACAAGGCCCACTTCTCAGGTGGGTGGAGGAACAGTAAGTTTTTTTACATTAACAGATACAATGAGCTCTGTATCTACTTTAATATAAGCTATGCAAGAGCACAATATGCTAAAAAGAAGTACCAATACTCAGATGGTTATGGCTGAATCACGTTTAGAACTGCATCAACTGCTAGTTGGTAAGAAGACAATAGATTTCCTAACTCTTCAGACGTGCTCTGCCAGATTTAATGACAGCGATGCTGGTGCAGCTGCAGGACAGCAAGGACACAGCACTTGCTGTATGGCAGATAGAGGCTCACTGCACAGTACTTGCAGGTAGCCTGCAAACCACATTCATATCAAGGGGCTGTGAACACACAGTTTATTGGATACACTGCAAAAGATGTGTTTGAGAGAGAAAAAAAATGTTGCTACTTACGGGATGCCGATCTCAAATAAATTGTTTTGAATCAGCTGCTTGCCCAACATGATGATGCTCAGCTGGATGCACAGCTCCATCAGGCAGCCACCCGGTGCACACTGCAGCAGACAGAGGAAAGGGAAATCAGGACACCTGTTCCACCTTTGTGACGAGGGAAGAGGGAGCTCACACGTGGTGCAAGCACAGGTAGGGTGAAATACAATTACCTCTTCCATTCGGAAAGAATGGAAAATGTAGACGTAGTCTCCTGGACGTCCAACAAACCTAGAGTGCAAAAGTTAGAATTAAGAACTTCATATCGATTTCATACTTCTAGTATTTGATTCCTAAAGTAACTCGTGTGAAATGCTATGTCATTGAGCAGGGTCACCTAATGACCAGTTCTAGAAAAAAGAAGGAAATCAATCCATCTTAGAAGTTTCTCGGTTTTTGTTTCAAAAAATAAGTCCTATGAACTGAGTGAGCAGCTCAGTACAAATGCAAGCCACATGCCCTACAACAGTATAGGTACATCTTGGCAGAAATCCTATAAAAAGAAAATAGAAATCCTATAAGGTATATTAAAAAAGAGAAAAAACAAACATAAAACAAAATGAGAGGGACAGGGAAGAAACATTTGAAAGTAAATTAGTGAGGTAAGGTTAGAAGAGAGGAGGCAATAAGCTGTGCAGGCTGAGCACCAGCTGTACACCTCAGCCTTGTTCCCCAGGCAAGCTGCCTGCTGCCCAGCACCCCACGACACCTCAGCATTGCCCTCTCACTAAGAAATCATACTAGAGCCAGAACCTGACTACCCATAGGCACCTAACCTCATTGCTGTTGTGTTAACCAGAACATGTCCTGTGGTATCTTTACTGTCACCCACCCCAAGGAATCTTCCTTATCACCCAAGTCTTAACCCTACTTCTGCTGTTTCAAGCAATGAACCAAAACTCTGAACAGACTTTTTTGTTACCTACCGGCCTTTGAAGAAAGCAACATAGAAGATGGGTGTGTAGGCATTGACAAATTTCAGAAGAAAAGCCTTAAAGATCAAACGCTCTTCAAAGTTCTTGTCAGTTTTTGGAACCTCTGGAACCAATGGGACACATGTAAGAAACATTAAGAAACTGCCCGACCTGGAACAATACATGACCTAATAAATACGGACTTTAGAAAGCATTCTCAGCCACCTTTTAAACAAAGAAAGGTAAAGTAAGATGGCCCTCAGGGAGGTCAGTGGTAAGCCCTCTGAAATCCTCCTGTTCAGCTTCATTGCAACAACTCCAGCATCTGGAGTTGCAACTGTCACATCCGGCTGACCCTCATGACAATCATTTGCAGGATGGAGAACTTAACTGAAAAGAATTCTGGACCTTTCATCAATCATGCTTTTTGGAATCATTTTATTTTTCTGCCTTGTTTTTCTTTGCATTCACAGTTTTCCATTACTTGAAATCTCTCGTGCCAAGTAAGCAAGAAAAAAGAAAGCAGTAACTGCGTGATAGAGAAGAGTCAATGTTGAGAGTAGGTACAGGAATTTAGCTATATCTCTGTCACACATAACTGGATTAGCAATTAGACTTCAAAGCTGAATCCATCTAAGCTTTGGTATTTGCAAGTGACTAGTGAGAACTCAGGTCACCCACTCGAATTCCCTGGGTTTGCTCACTAGTTTGAAGTTAACCACGCAATGCAGTCCATCCAGTATTCTCATTTATAACTGCTCCAATAAAGACCACCTGAGGACTTGCACCTACCGATCTGAGTTAGCCACCTTGCTATGCAGCCATATACTTCATCCAGGAAGATGATGACAACCAAATTGATGATGACAGCAGTGGCAGTGACAGTGACCCTGACGCTGGACCGGCCCGATGGGGTTGCGCTGATTGCCAGTGCTGCAGCAGTGGAGATTCTGTATATTATGACTCCAAACACTATAGCAAATGTCAGCCCCACCTGCAAGTAAGAGCAGCACAACCCCATTACAAAAGATTTAACTGTAAACACTTGGCACAAGACCTAGCCATGGCCTTACACATGAGGTCTATGGGCCATACCCCAAACCCAGAAATTGTGTTAAGGCTCCTAGTCACTGTAAGAGCAGATCCAATTTTACTTGTCATTTGATCATCAAAATCTCTGGAAATATATCAATTAAGTCAGCCTGGTGTATTATACCTTTGGAAAGGACTTAAAAGCTTTTTATCCAACTGCCGCTCTGTCTTGAATTACTATTTCCTTCAAAATTTGTTTTAAACGATGATGGCTTATTAACAACTGGGGAAAAAAAAAAAAAGAAAAAAGAAGAAGAAATATGCCATTCTCTCCTTCCTGAGCACTTCCCAAGAGCACTCTCTGTGTGTTTTAAGCTTTGTCCCATCAATCATGGTGGTAATCCCCACCTCCATGCCTTCATTTTTCCCTTACCATGTTCAGACATACTTATTTCTTCAGTGGAAAGAGTAGTACTTCCACTTCCAAGAGTAGTGCTAAAGTAGTACTTCAAGCACTTCAATTTCTGTAAAAGTTTTTAAGTTACAAAAAACTAAAATGTTTGAATGTTTTTGCTGGGAAAAAGTTGTTGAGAACCACATTAATCTGACAAATGGTTTCATCAGCATTCTTATCTCTTCTGTTCTTTCTGATCACTCAGTAATGTAAATTTCAGGCTTTTGCCAAGTGATGCTTACCATGAAGATAATGCCAACAAAATTGGTCAAGTAGGCTGGAAAACGATCCTTCCATGTCAGCTTCTCTTTATCCGTCTAAAATTTGGGGAGGGGAAAGGGTACATTTACTAAAGATAGATCATGTAATTTTGTGCATGTGACAAAAACACAGAGGGAAAATAAAGGCTAACAAATAAAGGCTAACAAATACACACCCAGTTAGCAGATGCAAAGACACAGTGTTTACAGTTACAATTCCACACAGGCAAATTGTTTACTATCTAGGTTCAAATTGGTCAAGTGCCTGCATTGCGGATATAAATAAAACAGATTTTTCTGTGTACTTTTTGGAGGAAGCATGCAAATAGCCTGTCATAAACCATGATGTAAGATCTCTCCCACTGTTAAATATTTTATTTTCCCTTCCCTGGAAAAATCCTTCCTCTTCTTTCCTTCTCCATCTCCAGTCTGTATTTGCAGCTTTGCATTTACCCAACTGGTGCCACTGAAATACAGACTGTACCAAAAAGCTTCAGGATGAGCACACAGTTGACAGGGAAGTTCTTGCTCTGTGATGTGACCAAACTCAATTTGCTTCAATAGTAGCAAGTTACGTGACCGTCCATGTGGTGTCTGATGGACCAGGCTACTGGAGTTAAGATGCACATGTGTAGTGAGATGGTCTGCAGACTATCCTAAATCCCATCAACCTTCTAGTGACTCTGCCACAGTGAATTAGGGGATGAAGATTTCATTTAGAGCAGTATTGCTCATCATGTCTTTCATGAACTTTCATGTCGGGAATTGTTTTTAAACACCAGAAAATAAACAACAAAGTAGCGTTACAGAAGATGACGCACACATTTTAACGGACATAAAAATATTACTCAAAATTCTATTTTTATTCCATGCACGTTGCCTTAAGGAAGTGCAAGCAACTCTCTCAACACACAGCCCATGCTCCACTGCAAAACATAACCTCAATCCAGCACAGTACCCCTAAGGTTAGCCATGCAGTGCCATTCCGGATGCATAGAAATGGTGGCTAAAAGAGTGCTGAAGGAAACCGGGGAGGAAGGAAAAGAAACCCAAAACTGAATGTGAATATTAAACAAGAGTTCAACAGCCAAAAATAATTGATTTGTGTCTTCCATAATTACACATAATTTGAGCTTCCTCATAAGTTTGAATAAAAAGAACCAATTTCACCCCAGCCATGACTGTCTTAACTCTTTGTCTCCATTTGTTTGCTGCCTCTTCTGGAAAATACCGATGCTTCTGATGGCAATTAAAGGAAACAAAAAAGGATTGGGCAATACAGCATTACAAAGCACTGCTAAATTCATCTCTATAGGCTCTACTAACTGTATGCACTGCAGTTTAGCCACAAGTGAGCGCTCTGTTTGTGTTGCAGCCTAAGGTTAATAAAAAAATAACAGCAAAGCACAAACTTTTGTCCTAAATCTTGGGATAGGTCAAACTGTCCTGCAAAGAATTTCTCATTTTTAATTTAGGATTATGCCATTCTTGTTCCTTTATGATGTGTAAAGGATGTCCAAAGTGTTTTTCCTTTCAGAAACATGTATGTAATTTTTTAATCAGACTTCTTTTGAAAAAATGTGAGCAAGTTCTGGGTTGACATTAGATAGTTTTCATTTAACAAAATTTATGAGTTGACATTCAACTGTTGAATTTGAACCCGAACACTCCAGATCCCAATGAAAGATAATTACCAAGTCTTTCAGAAAAAAACTTCTTTTCTCACGTTTCCCAAATTAGCAACATCCATATTGAATGCAGCCCAAGAAGTTATAAATAGTCTGGTTAAAAAAAACCTCTCTCTTTATTGCTCAGCTTTCCTTCTCTGATATTTCGTGGTTACGATTAATTGTCTGATTATCCTAATCTTCCACATTCAGGATCTGAATTCCTAATATACCAAAAGGAACAGTGAGTTGCATATTTCTGGTAGAATTCAACAAAGTCTATATGCAAATGTTTACGTAAGAAGGCAGCAATATGAATTCTTTTTCTCCTGCTAGGGATTTAAATCAGGTATTCCACATTGCACAAGACAACTTTCAATGCTGCACCCCCTCCATTAACTAGAAAGTATTGACATCAGCATCCTGAAAAAGGGGTGCAGCAGTACTTAAGCTGTTCAAAGGAACTGTACTGGCTGCAGGTGAGATGCACTCCAGGATGGCTGGCAGCACCTTATTCACATCAGTGTCAAGATCAAGGTAAAAGCAAAAGTGAGCAATACCTTATCCGGTGAAATATAATGGAAGTTATGGTTTTAAAAGGCAGAAAGTTAATATCAAAGCTGGAACTGGGCAAGAAAACTGGTGTTAGTGCTCCCAACTAATGCTCTCAAAATATTTTTATTTACAAAACAGTCCCAAGACCTAAAGCACAGTCAGATCCCAGCTCAGCAGCAGGACATTTATCTTCTAAGAGCAGTGTTAAAGCAGTGCCTTGCCTGACCTACACTATCAGCAAAAAGGCAAAAGCAGATGTTAAGGTTCCCAGAGGCTTCCCTAAGGCAGCCACAACAATGCCAGAGGCTTCCCCACATAGCCAAAACCTCTGTATGAGAAGCACCAGATTTCAGCCCCGCAGGTTGACCTGCTGGCGGGAGGATGGATGCTTACAAGACAGTGAACCTCCCCTGAGGCACTTGTAATAGCAAAGAATAAGATGTGTTGTTCTATTTTTCTCAAGTTGTATTGGTTAGCCTAACAGGACAGCCCCTTCAATCAGACAAGATTTCTTAAACCACACTTCCATGTCTGACCACACCAATGAAGGCATTTCTAGGCTTACTTGGGTCTTAAGTATGAGAGTACACATGTATACCAGGGCTGAAAACATCTGGAATTTAAATGCTATCTACAGTTTTTCTGTTTTGTTTTTTATTCTTTGTTTTATTATTATTATTATTATCACTGTAACCTATTTATTTTTTTTCCTGGTTGTGAGTCAGTGCCTGCTATAAATGGCCTTTATCAAATCTTTTTTAATAGATGAAAAAATTAATATTTTTACCATACCTCTTTATGTTTGTGTTCTTTCCTCAGTGATTTTTCTAAAACTTTTGCTTCGTATTCTGCTCTGGGATGAGCCTGTGAAATAAGTCATATTGAATAAAAAGCCAAGTCATCTGTTTTCAGCATCAGCTAAGTATGAACCATTTGCAGGTCAATTTCCCAATAACCTCTGTTTTGTAATTGAATTCTAATTCACTCAATACATTATCTCAATTGATAGTTCATTATACATTTAACCAGATGTTAAATGCTGTATGATTTGCAGTTGTACAGCAGCAGATTGATTTGCAGTCATGATTTGCCTACAGCCCTGTGTACATTAAATATAATTCTTAAGAGAACACAGGACGTCCTGCAGACAGGTTCAAACTGCGTGACATTGTACTTGGATTTCAGTGACCTGTCCTTGTGATGACTATTAGATTTTGCATGCTAATTTTGCATTCAGTGACTCTCAGTTCTTGAAGGAAACACTTATTTGTTGTAAATATGCAAAACCCATTGTTTTGGGATCCCAGAAAATTGTCATCTGGGGTCTTCCCGTAATCCTGTCTCGACAAAATCCACACAATTAGCCATTGCAGGAGAGGGAGTAGGAAACACTCAGAAGTAAGAGACAGCCAGAAGATTCAGAAAGATTCACGGCTTCAGAATTGACAATAATTACGCATTCACAAAAGATGCAGAATTCAGAGGTATGCATTGGATGGAAAACAGAATGGATCTGAAAAATGTCTGAGCAAGTGGAGAGGGGGAGGGTGTAAAGGAAAAGCAATCAGTGGGAGCTGTAAGGGAAATCTGATGCTCAAAAAAAGAAGAGGTGGAGATCAAAAGATGGCATTCATCAGTGGACATGTAATAAAAAAGGTAGGAGCAATTTTTTAAAAAATGTTTTCCAAACCTTGACTGCCTCCTTCAGGAAACCAGAAAAAAAATAAAATAAAAAAAATACAACACACAAAAAAAAAAAAAAGAAAAGAAAAAAAAAAAGAACAAGGGGGAAAAAATATTGATTACTGAACTGTCACAGATTTGTATTTTCACAATTACATGAAACAAACACAGGCGCAGTGGATGGCAGAAGCTAACACAAGATCAGTCCACTCATGTTCCATGCTATCTACTGACATTACTGTAGGTACTGTATGACATCGGTGTCCCTAAAAAACACTGGAAGATGAGACACTTTGTATTTTATTATCCACTTTCGACCCCAGCTCTTAGCGTGATACTAGCTTAAGTTTCATCAAAATCAGAAATAAGGAGGGACTCAAATTCCTTGCTAACTTCACAACTTATCTAGAATTGCCTATACAAAACAAAGGATAGACTGTATTTTATTAACAGCTGCTGCCTTTGGCCACACAAGGTTTTAGCCTGGTAGAGCTCTAAACTTGGACGTGAAGGAGATGGCCATCGGAAAGATACAGTTAATCCTTTCTACTTTCATGTGTGCTATCAGCAAGCTGCCAAAAATAAAAGGGCAGTATAGCATGCAGCAAATAAAGCCCCATATTCTCTCCCAGTCGAATAGATATAATCTAGCAAAGCGCATGGTAGAGTGGCTGCTTGCACAGTGTGCCTAAATATATTAAGGAGGAGCTAAATATATTAAGAGGAGATAATTTAGCAGAAATGTCTGGGGGTGAGGGAAGCAATAACTGCCCAAGGCTCACCCAGCTGCACAGCACCCTGTCAAATCTATGAGGCTTTTGTTTCAGGGGAACAATATTTGTTGTGTATCTACTTAGGATAGCTTGTGATATGACAAGTGCAGCCGTGCTCCTTTTAGTAACAACAACAGCAATAAATCTGGACAGGCAGGAAGCAGGGCAGTGGCCCCATGCCAGCTGTATGCCCTGGCTGAGATGCTGCAGTGCATGGGGTGACACAAGGGACCTGTCCCCCCGGATTGTGACCAAGGCCATGGCAAGACTGGCACTGCTGTCACTGTGCTACGGTCAGGGCAAGCAGGTACTGTTAGTGAAGTGGCAAATTTAGAAACAAAAAGGTGTAAGGCAGGTCCTAAGCTGAGCATTTTATCTCCTTTTCTTCAAGAAATTCATTGATTTTTAATACCCTTTCTTAAATATACAGACCCCTCTTTTTCTCCTTTCATACTACTTAGTACGTTTATCATAAACCTGACTAGGGATTTTTTTTTTTTTTTGGGGCATCCAAAATAAATACCCCTCAACACTTGCATCTCTTCCAATGCCCCCAGTGCCACAAGCACTCATCTGACAGTACCTTCTTAACTATTTGTCAAGTCATGGCTTGATCTTGCATCATTCAAGTGGAATTTTCAGTGCCTTTTTTTTTTTTTTTTTTTTTTTTTAATTCAATGCTGTAACTTTATCAGGTTTGATACATTCATTTCTGATTTCATTTCAGCAGTGCAAGCTGAAGTTCTGTGGTTGTTAGTGCCCTGACAACAGCCAGGGAGTAACGCATGAGCCATATATTCCATGCATATGCTGCTAGGTGTGACCTGGTTGCACATTTACAAAAAAACAAAACAAAACAAAACCAAAAAAAAAAACCCAACACCAACCGTGATTTTGTGGCTACACGATTATGTTTCTATGGCAACAATACATACTAGTCATAGCCTGGCTATAAAAACATCATATGGTTCACGTAGGGATTTTCCTATCTTTTAAACACCCCACAGGCCAAGGTCTGGTGGCTTGGGGCATGGAAGGACTCAGAGCACCGCGGAGCAAGACAAAGAGTCAGAACGGAAGGGACAAACCTCCTCCTCTTCAAACCCAGTCAGGTCCCACCTGTAGTTGAGCCGCATCTGCTTTCTCTTCCAGTGTTCCATAAAGGTAGCAGCTGAAACAACAGGTTGACAGTTATTTTGATGTTTTATAAAGGTTCAGAAGTCATATCATCCCTAGGTATGTGCCTGGAATCTGTGCTAGCAGCCAACTTTTCTGTCTGTGTAAGCTAAAATAAAGGACATTTACTATGCCCACATGACTTCATGCGGAATGATGCACACAGCTTTTAAGAGGTCTAAGAAAGTCAAACACCCAAAGTTATTTAAATATTTGCATGTGACTAATAAAACCGTTGGTCTTCATCAGTACATAATTCCATTTGTAAGTCCAAACAAATCTGTTCTTCATCTACACAAAATATGACTGATTTAACTAGTATTGTACTGCTGGTATAATTGTTCGCTCAAAGATATCAAAATAAAGCATTTGTGTATTCTTATTCCATCTATCTAGTCATCATAATAGTTACATTGGATCTAATAATCATGCTCAAACCCAAATACTTATCATATTGTTAAAGCTGCAGATGAGCAAAGTGCTAAAGAAGCCTGTGATGGTTTTGGGTTTTTTAATCATTAAAAACACCGAAATTTTGTTTTTGATGAGGACTACTTCCAGAAAAGAAACATCTCTAAAGCATTTCTTGAGTCACGGTGAAAAATCCCAGTCTATATCAGTCTCTCTGCCTCTGAGACTGAGCAAGTTCTCAGAGGACGTATTTAGATGCTGGGAATACACCAGCACTGTATGATAAATAAGCGATTATGAAAGAGGCAAGACTACCCAGAAGTGGTGTTCCCAGGGGAGCTTCCCGCAGTGAGCATTAACAGATGTGCTCACAAACATTTGCCCTCTTGTTCAGGAAAAACAGAGGCAGGGAAAGGGCAAGAGAGCTGAACACAAAGAGGAGGACACCATCAGGTCCAGAACCTGGCTCTGTTCTTGGTATTCCAAGAGTAACTTCAACCTGCCAGCCTTTTGGCTGAGCCTCATCACTGTACCCATACCATGTAACTGTCTCTTAAGAGAGCATGTCAGGATCCCAAAGATCACATCTCTTGCTGCTGGGGCTCCTGTCCTGCAGCCTGTAGTCTCCATCCACAGTGAGGAATATGGACAATGAATGACATGTTGTTTAATACTGCTGCTAGGAGCTGTTTTGTGGCACTGCCTTACAAAGATGCAAAATGAAAATACTGCATCTGAAATGCAGCCAGTTCATTTCAAAGCAGTGGGCGAATGTGCCAGGTATGCTGCAGTGGTTGAGCACAGCCACTTCTCCACACATACCTCTGCATTTTCATACCTCATCTGGGCCCATCAGTGTACACAGAGCTCAACGCTTCCCAGAGGTTATTATCCAAATGATCTTATCTAGATCCTGTGAGGTTTTCATGTCATTTAAGACCACAGCTTCACGCCTTTGGAAGTAAGCCAGTATCACTTAACACCAGGTAAGCTTCCGGGCTGGCCAAGGAGTGCCAGCTGTTTTGGAGAACAGCACTAGACCAAGGCTCAGGTGTAATGTTGAACCTGTGGCAGGCATGGGTCAGTCCTACAGCTGCTCAAACTCTCATGGAAGCAGAATTCTCCAGAACTCTGTAATACTGGCCCAGCGAACTGGTGGAGTCACCATCCGTGGAGGTGTTCAGGAAACATGGAGACGTGGCACTAAGGGACATGGCGGGGATGAACTGACAGTCGGAGCAGGTGATCTTGGTGGTCTTTCCAAATTTATCATTTCTATGAACAACATCAGAGAAAGACAACCTGGCCAAGATGGCTCTTTTAGGAATTCCCTCAAACTTTATTTCCTTGCCATGTTAAGGACATTTTGCTGCCGTTTTGCTGTTTTAGATTTCATCTGCCTCAGTTCTTCAACTGTACAGAAGCCTAATAAAACTCCTTTCAGGCAGAAGTGCTCATAAATGGCACTGCAGAATATACACATACTTACATATAGAGGGAATTAATTTCTCTTAATACTATTTCCTTAAGAAATAAATTTCTAGTTCCCTTTAGAAAAAAAAAAAAAAAATTTAAGAAATCTTTAAAAGTGAAGTTTAAAATAATGCAAATTCACAACCTTGTGGAAAACCTGATCTCAAATTCAAAATGACATTATTGAAACATTTTTTATATGATGTTCCACCAAAATCAAGTTTTACACTGACCTAAAAATAACTTGAGGAATTTCACATCCCACTCCAAAACTATTTCAGAGATTAAGCCTTATTTTGCACAGAGCACAGAAACTGACTTCTTCCAATATGTCTGCCTTTGCCCCAGAAGGTAAAAAGTGCATGAAGGAATCCAGAGTTTCTTGGTAAGGAAAGGGAGGCAAACAACCCTACTCTTTGGACAACAGAGCATTATGTGCAAATACCTGTGTGGGGATCACAATAACAGTAAGTGAAAGAGACCGAAACTGATACTTGACTCTCCACATGAGAACATCAGTCTATTTAAAGCCTCTGACACGGCACCCAGCTTTGGGGTGTATCACGTTTCTCCCTGTGCATTATATGGCCAGATGATCTTGAAGATCACAGGCACTCCTCCTTGCGGCGATTTCAACCTCCCAAGGTCTCCAGCTTTTCCTTTGTACCTGCAGTGCTCCTGACTCCCCGATGCCCTTAAATCCCTCTGCAGGACAGCCCTTTTCCTAGGCAGTGAGCTCTCAGCATCAGCCCTTAGCTTACTGCAATTCAAATTAAGACATTGGTGAAGACGACACTGCTGTAAGAGGAATTACATTGGCTTCTACAAAAATCAGTCCAGAGCAAACTTTTCGCACTTCTCTCACCAACACTGGGAACCATGAGGCTGGTCAAACTACACAGCTGAAGGTAGTGAAGTGTTCTATGTAGCCTCCCTGTACAGGATTCCAGTTACAAGCATGGGCTTTGGACCCATCGTTCCCATTTATCTATCTAGACAGGTCCCCATTGCCTGGCACGAGGATGACCGTGGCTCATGTAGCCCTCTGTAACTATTCCCACAAAAAATTTCACAATGCTTTTAACTAAATTCCACAGATGAGAAAAGAAAGGTTAAGTAACTTGCTCAAATACAGGGCCAGTCGGCATTAGAAAAAGTACCTATTATGACACAATTCCCGGCTCATGGTCTGCATGCTTGATGTCTTCTTGCTGATAAACTTAATTGCATCTCGGAACACGCTCAGGAATCAATGTTGGTTTGTCCAGAGACGTTAAAGGCCATTACACTTCCCCATGGAGCCCTCCCCTCAACCCCAAAGTACATCAATACATTTCTTCCGTAATGCTCTAAAGTGGAAGCTGGCTTTGCAAATAGATTTTTTTGGCAAGCTATGCAATCTCGTTAATGAAATTTTGACATACCATGCTGCAGTTTTATGACAGATGCTTAACAATTTCATTTGACATTCATCTTGAGCAACTTCTTGAATTTTAGCTTTCAGTCCAGAATATAAATCTGGGAGTGGCAGTTTCATGGCGGGAGTGGAGGGGGGAGAAAGAGAAGTCCTTAATATAATTAACTGAGTATAAATATACTGCTTTATCTCTTCTGCTCCTTCCTGTTTTATCTTAAATAATTAAAAACTTAACATCAAGGCATACATCTTCTTACCCCAGAGAGCCATGAAGACTGAGAAGAAGACAGTTGCAGGGTTATCAAACAGATGACTTGCACGAGCAGTCGCACAAGCGGAGCTCATCTTCCAGTAACTGCATGTTCTGTCACACAAGGGACACATGGTGATATTGTTTCTCTGGTCACACATTTCCATACTGCAAAGAAGCAATACAACACATGAAAGGCAATGTCAGTATGGCCCAACATCCAAGCTCTGTCAGTCATTTCTGATGGGCCACTCTACTCGGCACAGTATCTGTTTCTGATCTGTAGGACCACCAAACGCTACTCTTGTAGTCTTTCCCTCTCTTGGCCTAGTCAGCAACTTCATCCGTAACCCCTGCTAACGGAGGGGCTGAAATAGCAGATGCAAAAGACTCTGCTTTTATAGAATATTATTGTTTTTAAAAAAAAAAACAACAAAACAAACTTATTTTAAAATACTAACCACAGCAACAGATAAAGTACAAGGGAAGTGCTGAGGATCAACACACTGGAGTTCAACAAATTTAATTTCTCTGCAGACGACCAATAGTAACGTTTTTGACTTTCTTCCACTGTTGGAAGCAGTACAAAGCAATCTTATCCACAAAAAAAGAAAAAAACACAAATCTATTTTCTGATATCCATTAATCTGCTTTGTTAATCACCGCTCTTGGTTGTTGTACAAACTATGTAATTTTCATCTACAGCTGATGATGCACGCGGGGCAAATAATGCAAAATCATAGGGCTTCATAATTATTATAATAACAAAATGTACTGAAATTTAAAAATAGTGGGACATCACGACTTTGTTAATCTGACTGCAATTGCTTAGTTTAGACATACATATTCTTGATTTATCTTCATGTCACACAATATGCTTTTCAGCATTTTAAGAAGGGAGCACCAAAACCTATCATCAGCAGCCTTTTGTTAGTTTCACATAATGATCTGCATTAGAAAAAAAACCCCACACCTGAGCAACCAGCCAAGAATTAATTTTAGTACATTCAGCACAGCTCAACAAAGTAACATTAACAATAACTGCTAATGATCTTAAGACATGCTGCAGTTCTGGTGCCCACATTCAGCCCTCGGTATATCTCCATCACTTACTGGAACACGAACCTGTGGGACTGCAGCCCCCCCATCCCATGGAGCTCACCCACCCCCTTCAAACACAGCTCCCAAAGGATGAAACATGCAGGATGTGAAGAGGAACATGGACAGAGAGCACTCACTGCACTCTGGCCAGTGCCAGCTGGCAGCCAGACCTGGGAATGCCATGGCACACACAGACAGGGCACTGCAAGAGGTGCAAGGAAAAGCCCAAGAAATGGGAGCCACAGTTTTCAGCTGTGCTTGCTCTAGTTATTAGTGACAGAGCATCTACACAGGTAACATTTTATTTTGAAATTCTAATTGCCTCAAATGATAGAAACATCTGTTGTGTATTTTTTTTTATTTGCTTTTACCTTGGTATGTTCTCATCCACAGTTGCACAGCCATATAGGAAAACGATAATCCCTACAATGGAAGCTGGAATAAGCATTTGTGTATAAACTCCCAGCCAGGCAAAATATAGTCCAATCTTCTCTCCAAAGTATTTTCTGAAAAACATTAAAGATTTTTAAAAAGAGAGAGGAAAAAATGTTTCCTATTTCTTAAAATATAACGTGGCTAAAATTATGAATCACAGCTGGATTAAACATGGAGAAAGTAAGATCCAATGACCTGTGGGAATGTTTTCCTCAGAGGACTCTCTTTTTCATGCATGGAGTTAATCCAGTGATGCAGGCACCATGAAAGCCAGTTAGTCCAACTGAACATTGTTTTCCTGTGTTTCTGCTGTATAAGTTGATATCTCTGGATGTTCTGAGAGCTATTCCTCTTACCAGAGCCCCTCATTTTCTGTAGCACAGTTACTCCAGAGAGTCTCTGCTCTTACCAAGAGTGAATGAAACACACAGAAAGTACTGAAAACCCACACAAACCTCCTCCCTGCCCACCCTAGTTCCCCTGGCTTCCATTGTGGTGGCTGGAGATGTATATGCAGGGACTCCTGCTTGACACAGAGATGCAAACATACACAGCTGCGTGTCCTTGGGAGCATTATGGGGTGGCTCCACAGCACCGAAGCACTGCCGGGCACCGGCAGGCATGGCTGCAGTGCAAGAACATGCCCTCAGGGTTGGCTCTCACCTCACCAGATCAATGGGCTGGTACTTATAGAAGACTCCATAGCTTGCCCACTCCTCACACAGGAGCTGTAAAAGAGAAAGGAAGGTAAAAGCTGAATCCCAACATGCAGGGCAGATTTCTCCTTTGCAGTGCTCATGCTTTGTGGTTTCAACACATAACTCAGATCTGCCAATATACATGGTCTGCATTAAGTATTAAAAGCAAATTTGATGATCTGGCATGCTATAATGCAGTGATGAATTCTAGTACATTAAAAGGCTCTTCAGCAATGGGATTGATGGATAACTACAGCAGAGATGGGGAGAGCAGTCCTGATTTTATGAGCCGCAGAAGGAATTTAGCAGTACATATAGAAAAGATGAACATGCTTTGAGTTAACAAGACAGAGAAAACAAGCATAAGTGGGTTTGTTTCCACTGCACAAATATTCAGTATTCATCAAGAGGAGCTGTGCAGAGCTGCCTTGAAACCCACATTTAAGAGATTCTCAGCTTTAAACTACAAGTATGTGATGATTTCCTCTCATCCTTTCGGTTAGGATACAGGCCAAGAAGAACAATGATCCCTATTAATGATTTATAAAATTGAATCTCTCATAAAAACAGGCTCCTCTGAGACCTTCAACTTCTCTTTTACTTTGTAAAATATATCAACAGTGCTTCTCTGATCTGATTTTCAGTTCACCTAACAGATTGAACAAGAAATCAATGCGTCTAATACACACTGGATAAAAAGAACTGTTTTCACTGGTTACCTGTACCAGCCTGCTTTTCCTGGGATGAGGGAACCAGCCTGTCTACACATGCTTTAGAATTCACGCCTTCCTTTTCAGCTTGTCTCCTTGGTTTAATCAAGTTAAAAGAGATAGGGAATACATTACTGAACAAATAACTAGTATTTCAAGGAGATAATCTGTTGGTCATTTCTGAGACCACTTCCTAGGGGAGCAGCCCAAGCAGGATGCCACTGCTCAAGTCTATAGGCTCTATGCCTGTGGCAGGAGAAGCTTGGCACATGCAGCCATGCTCCTTGAAGCAAAGCAGGCCGGGCAGGTTGGGCACTCCAGCCACTGCCCACAGATTGCCCTATCTCAAGCATCATAGTGCAGAGCCAACAGGGTTTCCAGAGCAGTTAGCAATTCTCCTGCCAAATCATTGGTCAGATCTTCCAAGTTGAACTGCTCCATTGTGCTTTTGAATCACTCAAAATTACGACTTTCCTTCCATGGAAATGTGATGTCAAAAATAAAAGTGGACTATGGATTTTCCCCTCTTTCCTGAAAATAATTCATCTTTACTAGTTTCCTTACAACCATAAGGGCAGAAAGTGAAACCTGAAAGGCAGGCTTTTATTAAAGATCAGCATTCTTGCGTATGTGATTTTTCATTCTACTGCAGGTTTCTTTCAACCATTTTTCCAAGAGTTTCAGCTCTGCTGCCTGTGCTTGGGAAACATGCAATGATTCAGACAATTCAACATTCATGTGTACCAGCTGAAACTTCTTTTTTTTTTTTTTAATTCCTTTTAATAAGATAAGTTAGTGCTGGAAATGAGATGATTCCTCAGTAAGCTAATCTGGCCAAGCCTATCAGGAAACACTAAATGAAGGAGATTCTGCATCTGTGTCATTTTTCACTTTTGTATGCCTCTTCAAACCAAGTTTGCAGTTAAAGTACAAATGAATTATCTCATTTATCTTGACATTTATCAGCTTGATATTCAAAGCGTAGCTTCAAAGACATGATTATAGAAGATCAGTGAGCTATCCCTAAATATTTACTTCATTTCTATGTCTCAAATTTAATTTTGTTGTAAGAAAGGCACAGTCTGGCCTAGCACCGGATTAGATTAAAGAAAGCTTCAAGAAACCAGAAGAGATGTGCCAAAGCACACCAAGAGATTATTTGAAGAAATTAGAAGCCAAAAGCCAAGGTAAACATTTCAAAACAGACAGTGAACTTGTGAAATAAGTGCATCTGTGAGGCTAGTAGTGAAGACAGTAATCCAGCTGATTTACAAAACATGGACTTTCATCCATGTTTCATCATTTTTCAGGGGTGTATTGCTCAATGATGAAATGATAAGCATGTGGTATTTTTAACACAAATCAATGGGGAGGAGAAGGGGTTGGGAATTAACAGTAGCTGTCTCCTGATGACTCATTTGCATGTTAGGCCCAGCAAACCTCTAATTTTGGATACCTATTTTCATAAGGCCAACATTAAGGGTTTGAACCCACTTCTACACCCTGAACCACGCTTTTCCTCATGGAAATGTGGCTGTGAAACAAGTTGGAAGGCAAAGGCAGGCAGTCTAGCAGCCCAAAGCACATGGCAATCAAATTCATTAACTCCTCTCATGAAGCAGAGAGTTCAGGAGCAGGCCCAAGCTCTCTTCTGACACACTGATAGTGAGCTGATGTGCTCTAAAGGAGCATGGTCACCAGTGTGCAGAAATTCCACTCCAAATTTAAGAAACTGACATTTCTGCAAAATGTAGGGAAATTTGCATTTTTTTATGAGAAGTATTCCCTCAGAATGGTTACTAAACATGTTTTGTTTTTTTTTTCAGTATACATACACTAAAAATAATTTAAACTGCAGGCTTATGCAGAAAATGATACAGTAATGATACCACCTCTGGATGTGCTTCATATTAAAGCTTAAATGGAAATAAAAATTGAGTGTTTATGAGGAATGAGCCAGTCTCTATCCTTCCCATTAGCTGACATGCCCACTTTTTGGGCCTGATTCTAACCCCATACTCCAGAGTAGCGGCACATTAATCCCAGAGACTGCAATGAATTTTGCATGGTTGGCTGTGGCACAAAGCAGGGTTTGTGCTGGGTATAGACATCTGAAGATAGCTGAGCATATTCTCTCATTCAGACCTGAAGTTGCAGCACCCTAACTTTAGGTGTTGTGTCTAAATGCTCTCAGTACTAATGTGGTAAGAAGTGCACTGTTACTAAGCTGGCATTTCATACACAGCCATACTGAGCTCCACATGAAGGCAAACTGAAATGTTAGAAAGTATTCACATACTTCTACTGCATGACATTTTTGTGATATGGTGTGCGAAATCTGGGCGATGCCCAGATTCCAGCAGGTAACTTTAGGCTGGGACTTTCGTAAGTCTGTCAACCCCCTTACATCCACTTACTTTTCTGTCATTGGGTTCGACGTTTTCACCTTCATAGTCGCCCTTTAAAGAAAGAAAACTCATGTCATTCAGTGAGTCACGCCCAGAGCTGCTATGCTTCCTGCACGCCCATGGATCCCTCTTGCTTAATGCATCAAAACCAGAAAAGCAATCTGTAAAATAATGTTGCATTTTAGGAGTTCATTTGTCATAGCACACTTTGTCTCTTGTCATCAGGCACATTAAGAAAGAGTAATGGTGTCCATCACTGGGGAAAAATAAATGAATAAGTGATAAAGGTGGCCTAAAAATGTCAAGGGAAAGGATGCGGTATTTCCGTGGCGTTTGGGGTTCACCTCAGGCCACTTGACAGAGGAGAGAGCAGCTGAGATAGCTGATCTGTACCCAAAGTCTCCAAACATTCAGGGCTGATTAGATCTGTGGAGCTATTTTTAAGTATGATAAAGGAGTAAATGAAGACAATAAATAAATTACTTAAAACAGAGCCCATCAGCAGTTATCTAAAGAAGTGGGGCCAGTACATGCAGAGAAGTTTATTTAACTGTTCTGGATTTTTAAGTGATATCACTATAGCTTACGAGTGCCTGATGTTCACGATAAGTATCGGGCAGGCAACGGACCTGTTGTGATTGCTGTTACCCGGAGATAAAACACTGGAGACACAGCAAACAGGACAGAAAACTAAGACAGCATGCTTCATTCACACGTTCCCCATGGGGCAGCCTGCACTGGGCTTGGCAGTCTCTAGACTCTTACGCAGCCAGCCCATCATGAGCAGTATTTCTGTAATGTCCTCTTGACATCCACTAGGCCTTTTTGGAAGGCTGGCTGAGGACAAGGCTGATTGTGTTTGACAGTTTTAGCCATGCCATGAACTTCCAAGGGAAGGTATCACCAGCACCCAGCTGCTGTGTGCCTCTGCCTCACAGAATCACAGAACGGTTGGGGTCAGAGGGGTCCAACCATCTGGTCCAACCCCTGCTCCAGCAGGGATACCCTGAGCAGAGTACCCAGGACTATGTCCATGCAGTTTCTGAAGATCCCTCAGGAGAGTCTATAACCTCTCTAAGAAACGTATGCCATCACACACCCAACACAGAAGTGCTGTCTGATGGTCAGAGAGAACCTCCTGTGCTCCAGTTTGTGCCCACTGGGCAACAATGAGCAGAGCCTGGCTCCATCATCTATGCACCCTTCCTTTGGGTATTTTGACACATTTATGAGATCCCCCGAGCCTCCTCTGCTCTAGGCTGAGCAGTCTTAGCTGTCTCAACCTCTTCTCAAAGGAGAGGTGCATCAGTCCCTTCGCGACTTTGACAGCCATCCATTGGGCTCTTCCCAGCACGTTTAGGTTTGACATCACTCACCTTGACAGTATGAAGATCCCCAGCTCATGCGTGGGCACCACCTAAATTCCCCATCTCCCCCTAATCCTCTCTATCCCAGTGAACATTATGGCTTAGCACACTTGAACATCTCATGAAAGACATCACTTAGGATCATCAGAAGTAGGACAGAGGGGAGAAATTCATTAATAGTGGGCACAGTGATGGAAACAGCCTGCAGAAATGACTACAGTCATCACACAAGCAAGCAGGAAGTTGTATTCCCGAGCATCAATGTTTGGGATGATGCCATTAATGCATTATATATTAAAAACTGCTTGGTGTCAGACAGTAGACATGGAAAATACATTCCAAGATCACTTACATCATGCAAAGGATATGCAGCACTGTAAACTCCATTGGCAAGCAGGCTGGTTATCCCTTGAAAAATAAAGACATAACAGTTATTTACAATTTTGAGGCTAGACAGTCCCACTTCATCATGCTTCCTGGAGGTTTCCCTCAAAATAACAGCAATTTGGTCAGCTAATGATTTTTCTGCCATCTCATTCCTTTCCACGTGCTTTCATTTTTAATCATATAGGTTATTAAACATGACTCATTTTATGAAATGGAAAACTGCAGAGAGCAAGAAGAAGTCATATATATTTGAGAATCAAGAATTAGAAGCCAATGACTTGAAATTAGTCATTATAATAAATTACATTTTCTGAAAAGTCAGTTTGATTTAAGGGCAAGCCTGCAGATTTGAAAGCATGTAGCAGAAGATTTGATCACAAAAAGAATATGGTTGCAATTGATGGTATAAAGGAACACACATACACACTCACCATACACACAGAGCTTTGAATTCAGATTTCAGATTGATTAGAGAAATTGTAGGGAAAGCCTTTGCAAAGACCTTGGCGTAATACTTACCATATTTACCACATTTTCGTCTTTTATTTAAAAGGGCAGTTTCCTTCTTTCTTCCCTCTCCTTTCCCTGTTTACACATCCGTTTATTAGTTAGATGCATGAGCCTGAAAGCACTTAATGCTTCATCTACAAAATGCATGGGGCACAAGGGGCAGGTTTTTCCCTCTCGGGTGCGGTACTGCTACCTCACCACGGCAGGAGCGCAGCGAGGCTGAACTGGGGAAGGCGTGAGCACAGGGCTGAAGGGCACATCCATTGAGGGACACGGTTTAGAATGGTCACAAGTATGGGACGATGGTTGGACTAAGTGATCTTAGTTATCTTTCCAGCCTTTATGATTTCGTAGTGCTCCCTCCCACAGGTCTCTTGGCCAAACCATGGCCCTTGAGGGCGCACACAGCTTCTCACACCCTGCTGCCATTCAGACAGCTGCTGCCAGTGATGGAGGGGTGCCCACATCTGAGCGTGCCATGTTATTTATGAAGTTATGGCTGGTGATTCAACCAACTGGTCTTGGCTGTGGAACCAGAGCTACTTTGGGTCAGTCGGTGCAAAGCCAAGCAGTTCTCTTTGTGCAAGGCTAAACAACAACAACAAAAAAACCTATGGCACTGTGGAGAATTCAAAAGAACTCAAAAATTTAAAAAAAAAAAAAAAAAAAAAAAAAAAAAAAAAAAAAAAAAAAAAAAGAGCAGAAAAATTACATGCTATAGCATGCTCCGGGTTGACCATCCACTCATTGCTACCTAGTGTGGGACAGCGAGTATGAACCAGGAAGCAATCACTGCAGGTTCAGGAGCTGTTTTTGATTGTTCTTAAAGTAAGAGTTTTTCAACTTCAATAATACAATAGCACTAGCTGGAGAAACTGCTCCAGGAGCATTTAGTATCCTGTAGTATCATTATTTTCCAAGTCATATTTAAAATTATGCAGTGCAATAAGTTGCCTGCAAATGTTTCCACACTTCTAGCACAACCAACTAGGGAATGGATAAATTATCCTTTTAGGGCAGTGATACAAAAGAGCTACATAATACCACATACCAGCATTTAACAGTTATGATAGGTTCACATTTTCATAAATTTGCAAAATGAATAACAAAGAGTGCAGTGTTCGCTGTGCTGCTGCCCTTTTCCAGCTGGATAAAAGTGTTGTAGCATTATCTGTGTTTACTCAAATCCATCTGCAACCTTTGCTGGGTTGTAACCCAGCATTCCAGCGCCGTAACACAAAGAACCCAATTGAGTTATACTGATTACATCCTCGGATGTGCGGGCCTAATGACATTTTTATTTGGTATACTTTGTGACCTTGCCAGTCTATTGAAGAAGAACAATCCAGAAATCCTAACTGTTTACCTTCCTTTAGCCTCTGCCCTATTCAGCTAATCTCTAACCAGTTTCCCATTTTTTTGATAAATAAAAAATAAAAAAATAAAAAATAATCAAGTGAGCAACCAACTCTAAGGCAAGAACTCAAACTACATGGTCCTCTCCCTTCAAGAGTGCATGTACATAACTTCCAGTAAAACGATCTGGCATCAGACTCAAAAAAGGGTCCTGAAAGTCAGAAATTAACTTTGATTTCCCATGCTACAGGGAAACAAAACTTCTGTTAATATTGGCTGAACCCCAAGAAAATTTAGTGTATACAAGGACTCCACAATTATACATTGTATGCTGTTACTTCAACAGAAAAATCCAAGCATGGTAATTGTTTCTTGTATAATTGTTCTTTATTATTTGATGGATTTCTAAGCAGCTGATGGGTCAATATTGAACAGAACTACCTGTAATTCAAGTTCCCATTGTTTTACTTAGCTGCTTGTAGGTAAATAAACGCTATAACAGACTTCAACAGTTATCAAATACCTTCTCCCACATTCATGCGTTTTTTCCTCATCCAAATATGTTTCTATTTGTCATCTGCTAAAGCAACAGGATATGAGAGAATACAGCCTTTCATCTTATATAATTTGGTTTACCATTTTTATTTTTGATTCCCCAGATAGCTATCTACCACTTCTGCCTTACAGTGCTTGAATTCATATTTACTCACATCAGGAATTTATTTCTTAAGAAAACCAGATTTAGGTGAAATCCTAAAAACCATTGGCTGTGGCAGCATGAACTTTACCCACACCTGCCATGAGGGCCAAGGGAAGGGCTGGCCTCAGGTTAAACTCACTTCTACTCATAACAGCGATTGGGCAGTCACCACTCCACTCAAGTCCTTGCAAAGGGAATGCAGTGGCCACAGGTTTCAGGGCAGTTACGGAAGTGCATGGCATTGTTCTCATCCACTACCATGGGTGATAAACTGAACTGCAGAACTTTTGTCACCCCTAGCTCTAGATCACCTTCCAGCCCTGCCATAAAGGTCATAACTAACATACAAAGGGCCTACATGCTCATGTCTCATTTAGAGTTGAATCTATAGATTCACATTTGAAAAAAATTCCAAATAGCTACGGTAATTATATTTCCAAATAAAACACTTACATCCACATACATCAAATCAGAGAGCAGGACAAAAAACAAAACTCCACAGCCGGTTAAAGCTTGCCATTATTTTCAATATCTGAAAACAATATTGATCTTAAATCTCAATAAAGTTCCTTACCCATGCTATATTTTGCTTTGGTACATGTTGTTCTTTTCAGAATTTCATAAACCTGTAGAAGTAAAAAAAAGAAATGCTTACTTGGGATACTGCCAGCAAAAAGCACAGTCTTTCTGTGCACAGCTCAGATACAAGTATTGGCAGAACAAAGACACTGGTGAAGTCATTATTCGTTAATAAAAATTGTCCCGCTCAGCACATCAGAGTATCAAGACTTCCTTACACAGTTAATAATACAAGAGAGGAAGGCTCAGCTCGCTGGCCAGTTACTACTGCTTATTTGAGGGGGACAGGATTACATTTCCCTGCTGTCAGGCCTCCCCTCCTTGCTGCTCATGCTCCGCAGTGACCTGCAGACACTGCTGCCTCCAGCCTCACGAGCTTGCACACGTCTGGCAGCTATCCAAAAACAGGTAAAAGAAACAGTTTGACCCTAACCTTTCAGAGCCTGGTGTCAAAACAGACATATTCATTCTATGTTTTATTCTCACTTATTGTCAAATAACCTTTCCATATTGGCGTGGAGTCAGGATGGCAGGGGAGGTCAACCTGCATTTTTGCACATAACCATTGGCAGCTCTGCAGGGGCAAGCAGCACAGTTGCTGCCTGCCAAGTCATGAGGAACACCTGAGGCTGCCCCTCTGCCCAGCACTGCCCTTCAGTCCCCACAGGTTAAAGAGCTGTCACAGAAAGATGGCTAGTTACATAATTTGATTTTTTTTGTTTTGTATTTTAATAAGTTCAAGCTCTTCAGCTTTTTCTGTTCACCAAAGTCTCGCAGGGAGTGACTGGATTCCTGTTCATTTTGCTGTAAGTGGGAGGGTCAATATTTGCACTGTGGTTTAAAAATACATATGGGAAAGGCAGGAGAGAACTTTAAGTAACAAGAATACAAAGAGAAATGCATGCAGGATAAGATGATGCTGCACACTGCTCAATCTACCTTTTATTACCAGGTTATTTGCAGGGATTTCAAATGAAGCAACACAGAATCAGCATTACTGCTGCATGCCTGGTGTTCTTTAGGAGCCTTAGGGAAGGTGGGCAAGAAATCAGCACCATGCTTTGCAGAATTGTTGCTGCAACTGCAGCTTAGTACAGCCCTGGATGCCATGTAGGCTTTACTTTTAATATCCCTTTAATATCTGACTACAGAGGAGCACTTTGTCCCTTTTCTATTTCATGTTCTGAGTCAAAAGATATTACTCAGATGTAGTTTGTGATATCTTATTCCTGCTTTAGCCTTCACTTCTCTAAGGGAGCTGCAGAGTTGCAATAGAGTAATGTATAGTTTGGGACAGATAGGCGCAATGCAGAAATCTGTTCCCTCCTGGTGATGTGCCTATGAAGAAATCATGTTTCACTTACACCATGAACCAAAAAGAAGATCCAAATCATTGTCCAAAAGGCAGCAATCTGTTAGCATCAAACACAGTTTATTGTACAAGCTAAAGCTGGAAACATTTACTGGATAAATAATTAATGTCACAGGTGATCTCTGGCCTTAGGTACAAAGGGACAAACTTCAGTAGGCTTTGTACCAAAGCCAGCAAAGGGGCTATTAACACCAGGATGAAGGCACTATCTACCATAAATTATTTATAGACAGTACTTACTATAGTGCTTCTTGTTTTGCTGTCAAAGAAGGAATCTCTGTCAGACAAATCAAATCTGTTAAAAGATCAGAAGGAAGCCATTATGTCAAAAAAAAAAAAAGCAAAACAAAACACAGTAATTTCCTGGTCTTGTTGACCCCTTCAGTATTTTCTTTTCTCCTGGGGTTCTCTCATAGCTAACATTAAAGGGTAGCTTGTGGAAATCTCGTTAAAAAGAAAGTCCAACTCTTGCATTTTAAAGACATGCTGTATGTGTTTATAGCATTTTCCACACAAAAGAGGCTGTTGGTGCTCATCTAATTGAATTCCTGACTGCTACAGGCCTTAGGTTTCTTTCTCCTAATAATCTTTATATTTGGGCCATACCCGCAAAACCTGTAAGAGCAGTCTGGTTTCTCTCATTCAGCAAATGCCTAAGATGGTCTCACTGAAGACAGCCACCTCTGCAAGTATCATAAGGCATTTCCAAGCACAAGCTAAGGAGCACCTTCTGGGCTTTCTCTGTGCTATCAGTTTCCTTTGCTGCAGGAGCATCCTACATGCAGTACATATATAAATATAATAGCTGCAAGCCTAAGAACACATCAAACATCACATACATCGACTGGCCCCACTATCAGGCACGTGAATCTAATACACGGCTCCATTAGTGTCCCACATCCCTTCATTTAAAAAAAAAAATTAAAATAATGTTGTATCTAGAGTGAAGAAATCCTTCCCTGGGACTGGTATTTGTTCCAGCTGGCACGCACATAAACACACTCTTCAAAGCTTTGCCTCTGGGATGCTGGCCAAGGAAGAGCAGCAGCAAAGCAATCCAAGGCAAATGAAACTCTGGCTAGGCCCCACCTTATGATTTTTTCCCTCTACCCACGTCTATAGCTACTCTTACCAGTCCACTGGCTTCGTATCACAAGACAAGACCTGATTTGCAGTACACGTGAGCTGCCCATAGCACATAATTGGAACTATCTTTGTCATTATCAATCCACAACTCTGCCCGTAGAATCTTACTGAGCATTTTCATTTTACACGGAAAAAGACTGTTGTAAATGACATTATAAGTTTTGTTTGACATTCATTTCCTTTTCAGCCACTACCAGAGCAGCCCAGGCCTGCTGGCACCATGGTCACTTACAAGTGCTGCTTCTCCCTGGAGAAGGGGTAGGAAAGGCGCTTCACCGTCTGCGGTTTGTGCTCAGCCACCTTGGGCTGGATGGGCTCAGTTATCTTCTGAATTACTGAGTTGATCTTTTTCAGAAGACCATGGGTCTGATTGATTTGATACATCTGAGGGGGAAAACAAAAGAACAGTAAAGCTTCATAGTTTTCTGGTTCACAGAGATGCACTCACAGGTACAATTTCCTCAGTGCAACAGGACAAAGAAGTAATGAACAGAAGTGGTCAGCTCACCCTGCAGCACCAGGGGCTTTTCTCTCAACATCCTGCAGCTTTCAGGATTTTCTCCTCTTCCATGTAATCAAAGATTATTGAAGATATTTTAATTCCCTAACATTGAAGCCACTATTCTACTGCAGTTCTCTTTTTATCTAATTACGCTTCTGACTAAAATAGGCAGTAAGTGAGGCAATAATGGGGATTGATATAAAATCCAAACCAAAGGTGTAGCTTTAGTTTTGTAATAAATGATGCTTAGCTTTGAGAGTGTCTCTTTCTCCATTACAGACTTCCCTTCGCAGTCTGGGACATGCACTTAGCATGTTTAAATATTAATCAATCTCTAAGCTACTCTCACTGAGCAGGTAGCAATCTATCATAGATGACTTAGAATTTAGCTCACGATGAAAATACACCGTCACATCTTTAATGACATTTCAAATATTCTGAGAGGTAATTTACTTTGTGGTAGAGTAGTCCCAACTCCTGCAAGAATGACTGATGATGTATGTAAGTAGCCACCTAAACCCAGTTAGACTACTGTGTGCAAAGTAGTACATTCATTTTTAAGCAGCCCAACCTTTTGGGTGAGAAAGAAACCACCAAAATGTACAACCACATTTCATTATCAACCTCCTTTAAAACACATTGGGAGGGTAAGGCACTGCATAAAATCATTCGTACTGCACACAGACAACGGCGGGAGCCACAAGTTCATGATTTCCATCACTGCTTCCACTTGTTCTTTCTGTTGTCCCAAGCAAGAAATTTTGTGATCCTCCCATTTTTCATACTAAGTGCCAGGGGGTCACCGTTCTCCTTGCCAGGCTGTGCAGGTTAGTTCACTATTTTATAAATGCTTATGGGAATAAAAGTATATTTGAAAGGTGTAATGAGCATGTGTTTAAAGAATGCCTTCCAACATGGATGGGGGAACAAAACACCAAGAAAAAAAGAAAAAACAGGAAAATTGGGCTTACTTTTTTTGTTGGCATCTTGAGCTTAAGAAACTCTGCCTCTCGACACAATACATTCCATGGCGCGTGGATTTTTACAAATCCAACCCCGTGGATCTTAGTCTTTTTAAAAAAAAAAAAAAAAAAGAGAAAAAGTTACTGATGAGAGGAAATTAAGCATTCTCCCCCTTGCGTTTCATTTACATTTAGAGAAATGCCCATTACAGCCAACATTATCACCTCATTTGTTTGAGCTGACCAGTTTCTAACAACAGGACAATCACTGGGTACCTCTCTGCACTGAGCTGATATAAAACGTGACTCAGAAATGCTATTGTCTTCCAGAACAATTACCATTAGGTTAAACAGATAAAAAGATAAAAACTGTTTGGGAAATAAAAGCTAATGGCTACGGACACAAATATAGGCTAAGCCAGGTAAATTTGATTCACAGGCACAGGGCCAAATGCCACGTGTTGTAAGGAGTGGAGCTGAGGGGAGTTCTTGCTGCCTCACAGGAGCTGCTCGGAAACCCACAGCATGAAGGGACAGCTACCTTTCCCAGCCTGCCTTCCAGAAACCCACTGACTACCCAGATTACATAACTAACTGCCAGCCTTCCAATCAGCCATCATTTCCAAGCCACCCTTGAATTTACTTCCTTGAAGAGCATTTTAGTGACTTAATGAACAAGTGAGCAAAACTACTCGCGACAACAACCTGACACAAAGCAATTCATATTTTCACACAGGCACAGAGAATTGGAAGATTTCTCACACTGTACCATTAGCCTCACCTGTTATTTGTGAATTAGGGGTGGCAGGTTTATTTAACACTGATTGCTGTTCTAGGTGTTTAATGTCAACTGTTGCATCCAGTAAATAAAACCAACACAAACACTCACCCTCTGTCATGGAGATTTCAGGCATATTGGTTGGATCAGTTAATTGTAATAGCTTTCTTTGAAATTAATATGACTGTGGCTATTTCTACTAATCACACATTGGCAGTACTTCACAGACATCACTTTTCATGCAGTCTAATGGTCTTTTAATAGAGTATGCTGTTTTCAGGGTACAGGTGAAAGGCTGTAATGTTCACATCTGAGAATGGAAAGAGCAAAACTGCAACCCAGAGCCACGTGCTTGAACCAGAGTATTTAGCAGAACACCTTGCACAAACACAGTTCTCCAGAGGCTGCACCAAGGTACGAAAATTTTACTGTCTGCATCAGATATTCTTCATCAGAGCCAGAATTACCAGTGGACCCAACCCAAGGCATACCATCAATCCATCAACCTCTGATTGCTGTTTACAGCCAATCTAAGCCTCGCCTCTAGCTATGATAACACACCAGCAAGCTGTGTGGCAGTAAGGCACGTGCCATCATGAGTGATGGCTGAGAAGTTCGGCCTGTTGCCCTGGTGAACCTCCCCTCTGCACTGGTGAGGCCACAACTGGAGAAGAGAAGGCTGAGAGGGGATCTCATAACTGTTTATAAATATCTAAAGTGCATGAGTCAAGTCAACGTAGGTGGACTCCTTTCAGACGAGTGTAGCAATAAAACAAGGGCAAGGGGCAGAAATTGTAACACAGGAAGTTCCATGCTAACACAAGGAAGAACTTCTTTACTGTCAGAGTGATGGAGCACTGGAACAGGCTTCTCAGAGAGTGGTGGATTCTTCTTCCCTGGAGGCACTCAAGACCCACCTAGATGTCTGCCTGTGCTACCTGCTGTTGGAAACCTGCTTTAGCAGGGGGCTGGACTCAACGATCTCTAGAGGTCCCTCCCAACCCTTTTGGTTCTGCGACCTTGTGATCTCCCCAGATCTACTGCCAGCTATCCTTCTTATCATTACACATCTACAGCAGCTCCTTACATCCTCATCACGTTCCAGTTCCAGGCCAGCCTCCACCAGGTTCCCTTCATACTCCTCCCTGCGAAACCTCTTGTCATCTTCGTGGCAGTCAGTGTGGGGCTCACTCTCACCCATCTCCATTTGCACACCCTTCCCAGGCAGTGGGTCCTGCTTGGTGCTCTTGGCACCTCCATCATTGTGCAGGGCTCTCCTGGTGAGCGTCCTCCCTGCTGAAGACTTCTTGTAGTGATAGACCAGGATGTAATCCACTTTCCTCTTGCCATCTCGGAAGTAGAGTCCATACTTGCAGTCAGCATCTGGATTTTTGGATAGGGAGTTCAACAGCTGGAAGCAGGGAGTGGGGTGTGGAGGGAAGGAGAAGAATAATTAGTGCACAGTCAAATGGGCACCAAGCAGATCATGGCCTGGTATCAAGCGCTGCTTTCCAAGAGCACGCCAAGACCTAACCTCCGGCAGCAAGCCTGCAGGCGGAGACCCCACATGCTACTCACTCAAAACAATTTTGCAAGTTAACACTTGCAATTTTCCTGATAGCCGGCTGGGATTTCATTGGCCAGAAGTAAATAGATAAAATGACTGGGATTTAATCTAATTCTCAGCACACTGCTTCATAAGTCAGCTACTGGGTAGCTTTGGTTGTCTCTGCTGAGGGCTAATTGCCACTAAGATCATCTGTCCTCTTCCATCTGGGACATCTGTGTTTTGATTCTGACAGATAGATTGATATCATGTGCAAACATTTCTCGCTTCTTTTATCTGTTGCTGCTAGTTTGTATCATCTGAGAAAGAGATCAGCCCCCCTACAGACTGAAGGGAGCCAGCTGGGTGCCGAGGGCAGCCAATACTGGACTCCAGCCAGGGAAACGGGCTCCTTGCTAGCTGAGTTCAACACTCTTCTCCCCACTTATCAAATCCCAGACTGCCTCACAACTGAGGGTGGCATGGGCTTTATTTCTGCCTTGAACTAACACTGCGTAGGTTGGCTGTGCAGTGCTGCAGGACACAAGAAACATAAGTCTCAAAACACAGCCCTGTTTTCACACATTTGCCTGAAAACTGGACAGGATAACCACAGAGACATACCAAAGTACTAAAAGATATTAATTTCTGCCTTTCCTTGAACTTGTTGAAAAGTTGACCCTCTTGAGGACTGGCTGACTTTGTAGGAGAGCCTGCTGCATTCTGCATACAAAAGCCTCAACGCATTCCCTAAAGATAAGAGTACCTCTACTGAACTTTGAAAGGAATGAGCCAAAGGACTCCAAAGAAGCCTGTTGTCCTGATTTAAAGAAGTAAATAGAGTCTTTGCAGGATGTTCTTTAATACTGCAAGATTCTTGTAGGCCACCAAGGTAGAGAGGTGCATCAGCTAAGACCACGCATGGCCCTGTCCCTCTGCTTGTAGAAGAGACAAAGAAAGGGCATCTTGGTTTCAAAACATCCCTGACAAAATCATTCCACAACATTCAACTCCAGTTAAACACAAACACAATGAATCAAGCACTGCTTTTATGGTGACTCTCCAGCAAGGTCTGTTACACAGCTCACTGTACTTCCATGCCTTCACCTGAATAAACTTTCTTTTATGAGCTTACGACACAACCAGCTCCTAATCCTGTGCATTTATGTTACTAACTTCCTTTAAAACTGCTGATAAAAAGTTTTAACCAAGGCACAATTAATGACACTAGAAATCTGACAATGGGGAAAAAACCTCTGCTGTGTGTTACAAACTGTTTAACATTACCTCCGCTAACAGTAGTTTTCACAAGCAATTTTGGAACTTCTGCTCAGCGTGGGCAGAGATTTAAAGGTTGCCACAGCCTTACTGACAGATTACTCTGAGAATAACCAACCCCTTTTTAGGCTAGGAGTTAAAAAAAGGATCCCTTATTTCCCTTTGCCAGCCCACACACCCAAGCACCAACCCCACCAAACAAGCAGGTGCTGTGGCTGGCAGCAGCCTCCTCTGCAGCCTTGAAAGGGAAGGGGAAGACAGTCAGAGCCTCCAACGAAAGGGAACATTTGGGAATAAGGTCAGGAAAGAAGCACAGTGTGCCAGCTGCTGCATATCTGGCAAATCCTTTACTCACTGTGCTTTCATGCTGGTCATATCCTATATCCTCAATAGCTCGGATGTTGATGATGTGGATCCCCTTCTCCTCAGCAGGCAGGCAGGAGTATTTCTTGTTCACCCTCATGCCTGTCTCGTCTGGAACGTCACTGAGGTCGTCAGGCAGAAAATCCACCCCATGAAAATCACTGTCTGCGTCTGAAAGGAAAAGGAACAACTTCATCAAGACACTTTAATCCCAACACTTGCTCCTCCCAGAGCCACCCCAGCTGAGACGTATCCTGTTCCTGCCCTCAGCTGCCAATGAGCCTCACCGCAGGGCTCCCACCCCCCCTTGCTTTGGTTTGGGAGCCCATGGCCCTGAGCTCAACCTTCTCCTTTGAAGAACGCTCCCCGACATCCCCACCATGGTGCTGTCACACCAACTAAGTGTACTTTCCCTCAAGTACACATGTACTGCATAGAATGTGATGAACCGTTCCGACTCATGTGGACTTCTGAATATCAGGTTTACTCAGTCCTGCTCTGCCAGGCACCCTTAGTGTTCCTACTTAGTATTTAACTCTACAGCGGGCTAAAGGATTTAACATATAAATTTCACTACAAACGGAACCACCAGCTAACTCCTGAAAATCAAACTGCTGCTTGCATTTGTACATTGATACATGCATATGTACTTTTATACATGCAATGGAAGGCAAAGTTTTCCAAGATTTGATTCACTTTGACACTGAAGCAAAATATTGCAGAGCAATGCCTTTTTCCAAACCCCTTGGGAGCAGGATTTGCTTGTCTAAGGAGCAAAGATAAAGCAAGAATTTTAGAATTTAGCCTTGAGAGGATACTAAATTAACTTTCCCCCAAAGACAAACAAGAAAAACATGCAGAAGAGCACATTCTAGCAGCTAGGCTGCACAAATCTGTTGCTGCAGTCTGTGCTCTGCCTCTGGAACAGGGATCAGCCAAAGCCATACACATTATGCACAGTGCCTCTGAGCCTAAGACAGAACCCTTTAGAGAAATCACAGAATCACAGAATCACCCGGGTTGGAAGGGACCTCAAGGATCATGTAGTTCCAACCCCCCTGCCTAGCAGGGCCACCAAACACACACATTCAGATCAGGTTGCCCAGGACCCCGTCCAACCTGGCCTTAAACACATCCAAGGACGGGGCATCCACAACCTCCCTGGGCAGCCCGTTCCAGGGCCTAACCACTCTCCTTGTATAGAACTTCCCCCTAACATCCAACCTAAATCTTCCCTCCTTCAACTTGGATCCATTTCCCCTAGTCCTGCTGTTGTCAGCCCTTTTGAAGAGTTTACTCCCCTCGTGGGTGTAGGTTCCCTTCAGGTATTGATAGGCTGCAATGAGGTCACCCCGCAGCCTTCTCTTCTCCAGGCTGAACAAGCCCAACTCCCTCAGCCTGTCCTCGTAGGGGAGGTGCTCCAGCCCCCTGATCATCTTAGTACTTAGTACTTAGAAATGCTCACTTTCTACCCACTGACTTTAGGATGAGGTGATGAAAAACATCACATTCTAGCCAGCTATTTCTTAGCCAAAGGGACTGCTGCTCTACACCCAATGCTCTGTCTTAATGTGATGGAGCTTCAGGGGTTGCATGGCAAGGAAGGCAGGGGAGTTTGCATTCCCCATCAGGTTTGTGGAAGGCATGGGATGCAGAACATCTGATAAGGTGCAGAGTAGGGATGCCACCTCACGGCTCTCGACAGGCTGAAGAAATGCAGCCTCATGAAGCTCAGGTAAGTCAAATGCAAGATATGCACCTGGACAGCAGTTAATATGGGCAACACCTGCACCACAGGATGAAGATGTGGTGCTTCTTGGGCTTATCAGTTATAAAGAGAAGATCGCTGGGTAAGAAGGCCAAGTTTCTCTGGAACCATCAGTCATGCTTCTCTGGAAATAGCAATTCCCATAAGTTTATGGATCTTCATTTCAGTCTCTGTACTTAGGAAATCTGCTGTCCCAAGCAACATTCAACAAGCTCCACATTTTCCCTTTGTTGTTAAGGCATTCTTAGGAACTGCAGTGTTCAGATCTGATGTCTGGTATCCACATCCTCCCCACTCCTGACCAATTAACACCATAACCTTTGCACAGAGCTCAGGCAGCAATTATCCTCATGTATTTCATACGTACAGCACGTAGCACCCATATCTCTGCACATACGCACTTCTATCCTTGGCTTTCCTTTACAATTCTGAAGTAGTTATCTCCTAGCTCACTCCTTTGATCTTGGGACAGGATCCTCAAACTCAGTAAATCACTTGAACAACAATTTGTAATATTCAAATAATTTTTTTTATGGAGTAATATAGAAATACACACAAAAAATCAGGTGTCTAATGGGAGCAACTAGCATGATGATAACAATTCCCTACACACCTCTGCTCTGTTTTTCCCCAGCATACACCTGCACACATACAAACTCCACGAGCGCTCAAGTAATTAAACATACGTAATCAGTTGCATTTTTTTTTTTTTTTCCCATAGCTTTAAAATACATAATAATACAGCTTTTAAACACATAATAATACAGCAACTTTTGGAACTTCCAACACATAACTATGTACATTTGGATTCGGAAGAATGCCTGAAATAGTTTTCTAGAAACAATAGCTTAAATGCTATAGAATCTTCTTTCCTTCCTCCTCCTCTGACATATGTAGAAAATAAAACCCAGGTACTCCACCAGATCACAAAGATCATTATGAGTTAAGTGTCGATTGCTGACTTATTGAATCTAAATATTTTTTGTACCTTGTAATGGGTCTGTGAACTGAAAAGCACTTGATTAGAAACCACAGTTAGGATGAAAAACATTTGGAATGGAAAACCACAAGCTTCAGTGAGCCCAAACAAACTCCCTGTGCTCTGCTGAGCTTCTCAACTGTATTTGTTAAGACTGCAGCGCAGAACAAGGAGACCTACTCCGGTGATTCAGTGCTATTGTGTAAGCCCAAGCAATCAGCCGTCCGCAAGCATATATTTACATTTCTGTTTACGCATCAGTAGCCTGGCAATATCTGAAAGAACAGTGCTTAAGGTAGGCAATGAATCATAAAATTTTGGTTTATTACAACTACTGGAAAAAGATGAGAAATGGTGAGAACAGCATTGATACAATCTTAATTACAAGAAGTTTGATTTCTGTGCTTGAAGGTGATGTCAGGATTTAAGGCTAAGTAAAGCCATCCAAGCCACTTTGGTAATTATAAACGCACAGGGATTACCAGTAGTTCACATATGCTGATTTGGCAAAGGTCAAAGCATTCTATTACAGAACATCTTTTCATACACGACACAATATTTTAAAACCTAAGTCTGTATTTTGAGTTAATCATATTAAATAATGACAATAATTTAATCTCAAATTAAATGTACGTTCTAAATTATTTATGGCAAGTTAGCAGACACAGAATGAAGAGCACAGAGCATGCTGGCAACCTAATTCAGCTACAGACACATCTTAATCTCTTTGTAGGGAGCTGAAAGAGCAGGATTATTGTGACAATTGCTGGCTTCGCTGCCTTCTAACATTGACTAACCCATTCTTTTCTATTACTAACCAGAAAGTGCTACAGCAAAGTCCTGAAGAAGTGCTTGACATGTTTCAGTACAGCCATATGAAGAGCTGCCATCTCCCCTCCCTTTCCACAGCCAATGGTGTTCAGAACTCCATGGATTTCAGGACAGCAGAAACTCCTGATACCGTAAACTCAGACACATCCAACACTTCTATGCATTATTAAGTATTATTATGGAATTATGGAATCACTTGAGTTTGAAGGGACCCTTGAAGGCCACCTGGTCTAACTCCCTTGCAATGAACAGGAACACCTAAATTGTACCAGCCTGACCCTGAATGTCTCCAGGGCTGGAACACCCAACACCTCTCCGGGCAATTTGTGCCAGTGCCTCACTGCCCTTTTTGTAAAAAACGTTCTCCTTATGTCTAGTCTAAATCTCTCCTTTTTAATCTGAAACCATTCCACCTTGTCCTGTCACAACTGTCTGTCTCCTTCATTCTTATAGCCCCCTCCTTTAGATATTTTGCCATTTTGTTAGCATTTGCTATGAATTTCAGATATACACTACAGTTCCAATTAATTCTGCCCCTGAACCTCCTGTGAGTATCTCACTCTGAATAATACAGGAAACAAGATAACATTACTAAAAAATACTTGGAAACATCTGCTTCTTTGTACAACTTTCAATTCCAGCTGCAAAACATCCTCAGGCAAACTCCTCTTAACGCTAATTAACAACAAATTTTCTACCACAGAAATCTGGCACACTATGCTGCAACCTGTATGCATTTAGACAGTACCTCTTCCTTCGCCAAACTTCAGTGATCAGGTGAACAACAGCTGAAAATCTGCTCAAGAAGTAGATGCATTTTGCCCACTATTTGGCCTCAATCAACTACCCTGTGAATATCATAGTCATAATCTCTTATAACCACTAAATATTAAAATAAATGGAAAACCGCATTCTCACAATGTAGCTTTACAGAACCATCTGGATCTAGATCTAAAACAAGGCTGAGTACATTTAAATAACTGAACAACTATTTCACCACTCAACATGAATGCCGTAATGCAGCTGAACTCATCTCTTATCTCCTCTTGCTTTCTTTTTTTAGGGAGTATGCTTAAGAAAGTGGCTAGAACAAGAAGTCATAAAGACATTTGAGCTAGCTATCCCAGTTTTTCTCAATAAGGAAGAAGCAGGACAGTTACAATGCTGTGTGATTTAAGATTTTCTAGTGTCCAGATTGTTATCTTTTTGCTTTATATAAGTACTCATTGAATTTGGAAAGAAAATTTGAGGATCGTGCAGGATATGTTCCTTGAGCTTGAGGTTTTAAAGAGCCAGGAGCCAGAGCACCACTTCTTCCCAGCAGCCTCTGAAACACTTTTAGATCCTTTAAACTGAAGGCATTTCTTTCATCTGAATTGTGATGGAAAAGTGCTGTGCGTGGTCTCTGAAACTGATAGTGATCCCACTGTGATAGAGAGGAGAGAAAGTCACTCACACACAAATGTTTGTTTAAAAAAATAGAAATATACATACACAGATATAAGTAAGTTGCATATTTTGTTTATACTATGCTTTTTCTGAAGAAGAAATACCAGTGTAGCAAAATACTGGGGACTTTTCTGATTGGAGGCT